TGTGGTGTGTTTTTTGTAACTATATGAGTTTTTCTGGTGAGAGGTATGGTGGATTTGGGCCTTGAAGTTATACAGGTGATGCACGGTTATTAGTGTGGGCTATTAGCATTTGCCTATACTTTCTTCGGTTTTGGTTCGCGGTCCTTTTATTGGATGCTTTCTCATCTGTCCGTACTTCAGTTTGCCGGTAGTTTTTGGGACTTGAGTGATGGTGCGGTGGGGGTGTGTGTTGGTGAGGGTGTGTGTGGAATGTGTTTCCTTTGTAACCCTCCAATCCGTGGGATTTATCTGTATCGAGTGATATGCAGGTCGGCCACAGTGCCGGTGTGTTTGTGGGGAAGTTTTTCTTTCCAGGTTTGTGCAGTGTTTGTGTGCTAAGGTTGCCACTGTTTTTGAGCCTTCCTTTTCATGGTTGGATTGGCGCTTGGGTGTGCATGCAGGCTATTTGTCTTTGTATGGGTGGGTGGCTTGATGGTGTATGGATCACAGCACCGTGAATTGAGTGTTTTTGTAACCAGTATGTGACGATATTGGACTGGGATGATCTTTACAATTGGTTTTAGTGTATATGATGTTAGGCATTTTTGGCTTTTTGGTTGTTGTTACAATGTCTGAACTTGGCCGTTTTTATGTGTTCAGTGTAAAAGGCATTGTTCTATTCTTCAAATCGGTGTAGGGGGGGATATGGTTCTGTGTTGTTTCACCACTAAAGTTAAATCACCCCGCTGCTTGTGGGTGTTTTGGTTTTAGGTGTTTCTACGTATATTAACTAGTCGGATTGGTTGATTGATTTGTTCTTGGTCTAAGGTGTCTTTGTTTTTCATTTCAGTTCATGGTGTTTATATTTGTCTCCAATTCTCGGTTTTTGCATGGATTTTTTTGGCATAGTTGAAGGTTGCTTGTGTTTTGTATATTAGAGTGTTAGTGGTAACTGTGTTTCTTGTTCCTTTGATTGTTTGGTGGTCTGTAGTCTATTTAGGGTCTTTGAGGTGGTTAGGTTTACTTGTGTTTACTGGCTGTTTATTATATTCTCTTTATGTTTTGTTTTTTGGTTGGTGGACTGCAATTTGCTAATTGTCATGTGCTGGAAGTGTTGTACTTTCACTTCTCAATGGTTTTCAAATGCTTTATAGGGGCATGTAGTGTTTGTTGGGTCAGGGATAAAAATGTGTTTGGTGGGGGGAAGGGGTTATGAATGGTAAGATACTTTTTAGGACTTTAAAAGGTAATGGTAGCTGGAACAAATTGTGTTTGTGGATTACCTTAAATTTATGTGGTTCAATTTGTTGATTTAGGGTGTTGTCGTCTCGAAGGAGCTATGTTTGCTAGTTGTCGTGGTGGTTCATTCGTCGTTTTCGGTTCCATCTCATGTACCTGATTCTTTGTTTCCCTTCAGCTTCCCTCTTCTCCTGCTCGCGTCTCCGCCTGCTGCGCGGGTGCTCGGCCTCGGGGGGTGCTGAACAACCTGTGAGGGTCGGAGTGCCACTGTAGGCCTCGTGGTGGTACAGCGGCTCCGTCGTGTGCTCGCTGGCGAGGCATGCTGTGGGCATTTGAGGCGTCGCCTGGCTGAAGTGCGGGTTTGTGATGGCCCAGGCCGCGGAATTGGGGAGAGCGTGTGGTGAGGGCTGGTAGACTCCGCCCATTAACCTCAGTGGTTACTGTGGTGTCGAAGGTTGTTTCTAGAGTACTGTGGAGACACAGGTGTAGAGAGACAAAATAAGGGAATTAATTCTGACTCTTGATACTGCGAAAACTGATCAGCGTGGTATTTTCTGACAGTTGCTAACCCTTCTTAAAAGCTCAGTAAAGGGTCTTGGGAAAAGTGCCTCTAATGGACCAAAATCACAAGGCACTGAAGCCATCATATTGAATACACTCCTGTGTGAAGGGCAAATCATTCAGGTGAAAAGATCAGTCATATTTTACATCAGTTGAGTGCCACTCCCATCAAATCACACGCGGCTCCTTCTAACATTGCTTATGTGTGTGTGTGTGTG